TTTGGAACAATATTAAAGTCCAAATGTGGACAACAACCAAAACTTTCCATCGGAGTTTACAGGTGGTGAGGTGAAAAAAAAGAAGAGCAACTGCTAAGCAGTAAATGAAACAGGAGACATCAGTTCAGAAATAATATTTAATGAACTTATTTAAAATGCTAGATATATTTCCAGTTCCACCATTTAAGAAAATGGTATTAGGCAAAAAGTTAAAATTACAGGTATCATTTTAATAGTTGGTAAAAAAAAAAAAAAAATGGATGAATTGTTTACAGTACTATAAGCAAAGTCAACAGAGTAAAGAAATCAAGAAGTGTAAATAAAAGCAACATCGTCGTAAGTCAATGAAAGACACTTTTTCATCACTCCAGGAGTGCTGGCCATATTGTTATCGACCAGATGGGATCACGATTGGCTACGTGGTCACTTTGTCTCTGATCTAGTTTACTTCTCTGAAAATTTCCTGGTGCTCATTTTAAGGCTGCATAAAATTTGCAGCTCTTGCAAGATAACTCTTTCAGTGCCAGAAAAACAAAGTTGATGTTTGATAAAGACAATAATTTAAAAAAAACAAAAAAAAAAACTTTCCCAGGGTCAAATACACCCTTGTAGGATCTAAATCTAGTCAGGTTTCTGTAGGCTCTCACAAAGTATGAGTTACAAAACATAACATATCATTACATGTGAATTTTATTCAATTTTATGTAGTGCCTTTCTTGGGACTGAAAGTGTTAAAAAAATACTTTTGTGGACTCAAATCTGTGAATAAAGTGCTGGCAGATGAACATGCTAGCCATGGCTGTAGAGCTTTCTTAAATCTTATTATATATTTAAGAAAACAACAAAAAAAATAATAATGTTCATCCAGAAAGATGGATGAGAAATGAATCTGCACATATAGTAACAATATAATGCTCGGTTACATTAGCAAGCACACATTGGAAGAAAAAAAGATACAAAAACACTTTTTGTAATGTTGTAAAAGAAGAGACAGCTCAATAAGAAATATGGTTATTTTATTGAAACTGTGTGGCAGTGTGATGTTTGTAATGTTATTGAAATGGCAGGTAGGCGACTTAAAAGATAGAGAAATAGAAATTTCAGCGGGGAAGGGAAGCTTGTTATCCTACTTTACAATTCTGTGATACCATATATTTATCTACTATCATGTTTTACTGTATCATATCCTACGAATTTGATATCATTGAATCCTTGCTGTTCTGTGCAGTCTTTTTGATTTCATGGCTGGAATTCTGTTCAGCACTCTTGGCCTCCATCATAAACACTTGTGTGAGGTGTTTCTCCTGGACAGGTTTGTTTCTCCTAGACAGGTTTGTTTCTCCTAGACAGGTTTGTTTCTCCAGGGCAGGTTTGTTTCTCCAGGGCAGGTTTGTTTCTCCTGGACAGGTTTGTTTCTCCTGGACAGGCTTGTTTCTCCTGGGCAGGTTTGTTTCTCCTAGGCAGGTTTGTTTCTCCAGTGCAGGTTTGTTTCTCCTGGACAGGTTTGTTTCTCCTGGACAGGCTTGTTTCTCATGGGCAGGTTTGTTTCTCCTGGACAGGTTTGTTTCTCCTGGACAGGCTTGTTTCTCCTGGGCAGGTTTGTTTCTCCTGGACAGGTTTGTTTCTCCAGGGCAGGTTTGTTTCTCCAGGGCAGGTTTGTTTATCCAGGGCAGGTTTGTTTATCCAGGGCAGGTTTGTTTCTCCTGGGCAGGATTGTTTCTCCTGGGCAGGTTTATTTCTCTTGGACAGGTTTGTTTCTCCTAGAGAGGTTGGTTTCTCCAGGGCAGGTTTGTTTCTCCTGGACAGGTTTGTTTCTCCTGGGCAGGTTTGTTTCTCCTGGGCAGGTTTGTTTCTCCTGGGCAGGTCTGTTTCTCCTAGGCAGGTTTGTTTCTGCAGGGCAGGCTTGTTTCCCCTAGAAAGGCTTGTTTCTCCAGGGCAGGTTTGTTTCTCCAGGGCAGGTTTGTTTCTCTTGGACAGGTTTGTTTCTCCTGGGCAGGATTGTTTCTCCTGGGCAGGTTTATTTCTCTGAGCAGGTTTGTTTCTCCTGGGCAGGTTTGTTTCTCCTAGACAGGTTTGTTTCTCCTGGGCAGGTTTGTTTCTCCTGGGCAGGTTTGTTTCTCCTGGGCAGGTTTGTTTCTCCTGGGCAGGTTTGTTTCTCCTGGGCAGGATTGTTTCTCCTGGACAGGTTTGTTTCTCCTGGACAGGTTTGTTTCTCCTGGACAGGTTTGTTTCTCCTGGGCAGGTTTGTTTCTCCTGGGCAGGTTTGTTTCTCTGGGCAGGTTTGTTTCTCTGGGCAGGTTATTTTCTCCTGGGCAGGTTTGTTTCTCCTTGGCATCCTTGTTTCCTCCCAATCAGTTTATTTCCCATTTCAGTGACTGTGTTGTCATTATGTGATTGCATTCACAAAAGTTCAGTATTTCATATAGTATTCAAATTGAGTTAACTCAAACTCTAAAAATTTTGAGAGATATTTGGAAGACACAGTTTATTTTTGAGGATGCATCAAACATTTTTATTGAGAAAAGCATAAGAAGTTTTGCTAGCAATAATTTTTAAATTAATTGATGATCAATTAATTAATTAAATTGTATGAAAAGCACACATATTGCAGCTTAGCTTTAAAACCACATTGCGCCAACTGCTATTCTAAGGATGAGCAAGGAAGAAGAAAAATGAATTTAACAGCAATGACAATATTAATAATAATAACTATTATAATAATACCATAAATGCATTTGTTCCTTGTGCTCTGTTTATGACTCAGAAATAACAGTCACTGTCCAAACAGCCACATCAGTGCACTGGCTAGTTTTATATTCCACCTTTAACAGGCTAAAACATCCTATTTCACCATAAAATATGTATACCCTGAGTCCTATGGTGAAACTGAAAGAGGCAGACATCAATGTCATGTTACATACACCTCAGTCCACATAAGTAAAAACTGTATATTGCATTTACACATTTGTAAAAAAAAATATGTGCTTCTTATTCATTCTTCTCTTCTTCTTCACTTCCTCTTTTACCGCTGTGGGTGTCGGGGGAGATATAAGGTTCTGTTTCTAGCTCTTCTGGCTGCCTCGACCATAGGCACATCGTGCTGTTGTAGAGTTTCTCTGATGTTATCCTTCCATCTTGTTCTTGGTCTACCTCGTGCTCTACGTCCTTCTTCCCTTTCCATGTATGCTTTATATGGTATGGTGTCACAAGGCATTCTCTCTAAGTGGGCAAACCATTTCACTTGCTGTCTTCGTATGTAATTTAGAATTGGTTCTGTGCCGACTTTTTCTCTTTTCTTATTCATTAGAAAATTATAAAACAGACTGATAAATAAACCGCTATCATTATATATAACAGCAGAAATAATGTCTGACCAAAATGATAAAAATAACGTTACATATCGATTAGGATAATTAACTTTACTGAAATAAGAAACATATGTAACTGAAAAAATATAATGTAAAACTATTATTACAAATTAAAGTTTAAAAAAAAAGTTATTTGTATTAATTATAAATCTTTCATTAAATTAATTTCTGCATAATTATACCATTGATTTAGAATCTTATGTGTCTAAATACACTGATAAATAAATCCAAGACCTTGTGGAAGGTTAGGCCGGGGTCAAAGGTTCAAAGTAAACCACCATTAACAAAAATTTGTGAATGAAGAAATTGTAATTTGAGCTCTAGCTATAAATCGGTAACTTAGCTTGATTGAGCACAGGAATTCAACAAGCAACAAAGAACATCACTTTCAAATACACCAAATTCAGCTAGACAGTGCAGACGCTCCAAAAGAGTAAAACACATGATTAAAACAACACACAACAAGAACAAGCATCCAAACTCTTTTAATGACTGAAGGCTACTCAGTCAGACTACCACGGGATTCGTCTACCAGCGGTCACTCTCACGTGGGTCTAGCCATACCTGTGGAATCCATAAATCTTTCACAACACTTCCACACTCTTTCAGTGACCCAAGTATCTACGCTCACTTCTCACTTAGGTCACTCATATTATGAACATTAATGTGTACTATCACATCCTCTAACTCTTGTATAAACGTCCAGTAAAACACGACAGGGAAGTACTGGCACTTTTTTCTTAGAAAAGAAAGCTCTGAATATCTCCAAATTCTAGTGTAGAAACAGCAGCAAAAAACGTTTTTGAAAAAAAATGTAGGCAGCTGAACAATGATGCAGGGGTACCGAAACATGGGGGATATTGGCAACTAGAGCCCTTCTCCCCCTTGCGTTTAATGGAGCGAGGCTACCCATCCTCAATAAAGTGTTCCCTTTATGATGGTACCCCTACACTCTTGCCAGTATTGGTATTCACACAAATATCTATAATGAAACAAACATATAATTAGGCAGGTAATTTGAAAATAGCTGCCAAAATAAAACTGAAAAAGAAGAGTCAAAGCTTTCATGGCATTGCAAACAGGCAGATAGAGATAATAAATTGTCATACTGGCCTGCTGATTGTTCTTCTCCAGGACTGATGTCCATATGATTACATTTCTTCTTCTACTTCTTCTTGTGATCATTTCCCTGATTTACTTCGATATTAACATCTCACGGATGAAAATCAAACAAGAGCAAATTTCAGAAAACCCTTTTAACTATGTAACAGTCATATTAGAGCACTGCTTTTGTTACACAGCAACTTACAATCATATGTTGGGAGGGGATGACAATTGCTAATATACTGCCCATGAATAAAGAGAAAAATATTGTCAGAAGAAAAGAAACAATATAGTTACACCAATGACCATTAAATTTACTTACAATGAACAATAGTAATGGGAAATTCAAGTATTCATGATAGTTAGTAGTAAAAGATTATGTATTTCATAATTACCTAATTTAAAAAAATACACACATTGATTAGTAAACTATCCAGTATGGCCATGACTGAACAGACAAGTCTTCTAGTAACTTGTATTTGTCTTGAAAGTCACAGAAGTTTACAGACTTCAGAACTGGTCCCTGATTTATCTGTTGTTGTTCTTCTTTTGCCTCTCGAAAATTGCGAAGTCCTGGGGAAGTAAATTTTGAAATACAATTTGTTAGCATAAATGTCACTGACTTTTCATCATTTTTGTTTTAACGTCTGATATTAAGGACATTACAGACTCACCGTACAGTCAATTCATATTCATTAAGTGTGAAAGGCATCATTTGGCCAGCTGGGCTCTTACTGGGAGAACCTGGGTTCGGATCCTAGGTAAGCTGATGGAGGTTTACTCTACGAGAGGCAAAAATAAACATCCAAACCTGCTGTTTGTGCTGACAGAATTAGTCATATGGTCTTTACTCTGGAGGTTCAAGACCCCTCAAGACCGCTATCTCTCCCACTCTAAAGAGGCTGACCTACATAAAGATGAGCACAGAAAGGCTGACCTACATAAAGATGAGCACAGGAAGGCTGACCTACATAAAGATGAGCACAGAAAGGCTGACCTACATGAAGATGAGCACAGGAAGGCTGACCTACATAAAGATGAGCACAGGAAGGCTGACCTACATAAAGATGAGCACAGGATATAAGTGACCCCTTGGGTAGGAAAGTACCGGAAATGGAAGAGACTGCGAGAGACCGAGTTTCTTTCAGCAGACCATGATGATAGCAATGTTTTGTAAAGGACCTGCTATATGATGATGATGAACAGAGAAATATAAAATGGCCATCCAGTAGCGTATATTCAATACTATGAAATCTTTTTGTACCAGATAGATGCTACCTCTGGTGGCTCTATCCGACAAAGTTGTTTTTTGAAACTAATAAACTGGATTTTCTTCTTCTTCTTCCCGTTCACTGGCTGTAAACTCAGGCAGAAAGTTTGTGTTGTTTGTCCACTTCTGGACTTTTGTCTTGTTTGGTTTGGATTTAGCTTATCTGTATGCAGACTGCTGGTACCTTGCCTTTTTTTTTTAAGGAGGCAGTGGGTCTACTCTTGTTTCCCTGCCTACAGTGGGGTCCCAAAACCCACAGGAGCTCTGGGTCAAAACCATTTAATGTAATTACCCTATTAAACAGAAGGAACCAAAGTAACAATCAGGTCAAGATAGGTTAATGTAAGAACTGGGTTAGACATAACAATTAGGTCAAGATAGGATAATGTAAGAACTGGGTTAGACAAAACAACTAGGTCAAGATAGGTTAATGTAAGAACTGGGTTAGACATAACAATTAGGTCAAGATAGGTTAATGTAAAAACTGGGTTAGACATAACAATTAGGTCAAGATAGGTTAATGTAAGAACTGGGTTAGAAATAACAATTAGGTCAAGATAGGTTATTGTAAAAAACTGGGTTAGACATAACAATTAGGTCAAGATAGGTTATTGTAAAAACTGGGTTAGACATAACAATTAGGTCAAGCTAGGTTATTGTAAGAACTGGGTTAGACATAACAATTAGGTCAAGATAGGTTAATGTCTTCTTCTTCTTTCGTTCGCATGAAATAAATTGTCTATATCTGCAAAGCCGTCTCTTGTATGAATTTCACTGTCTTTTGTAATTCACTAAGCGGCCTGCAAAGTTTGACTTCCACAAGTGTCTCTTTTGGCCAAATGTTTTGCCTGAAAGCGTTGAATATGGGACAGTCTTGAAGGATGTGATCTGTTGTTTCAGGTGCCAGTCCACAAGTACACATGGCCGATTGGCCAATCTTAAATTTGTTGTACATGTGGGAGCGAAGTCTATTGTGCCCTGTTCTAAGGCGAAGGATAATAACTTGCTCTGGTCTGTCCATAATATGGTAATCATCTTGTGCCAGTTTCGGTGGCATTCTGATTGATTTGATCATTCTCTTCTACTGTTGATAAGAGACTGGTATGTCAGGTTGTTCTTCAGTTGCACCTTCCTTAGCTAGTTTATCAGCTTTTTCGTTTCCGGGAACTCCACAGTGGGAAAGTATCCACTGCATTACTAATTTACAGCGGTTGCCTAGTTCGGATAATAGTGTCCGTATGCTTGGTAATTTTCCAGACTGTAGTGACTGAAGTACTGCTTTTGCATCTGTCAGGAATACCACTGGTTGTGAAAAATACCCTGTATTTAGTAGTTTCTCTACCGCTATCTTGATGGCTTGAACTTCTGCATCATAGTTGTGACAGTGCTTTCCCGTTGGTAATTTGGCTGTATCCCTGGTATTATTAGGATACTCAATGTACACTCCCGCACCTCCGTTTCTGACTGCGCTTTCTGCTGACCCATCTGTGTAAACACGGACCCAAAGGTTCTGCGGGTATTCATCATCAAGTAAACTGAGGGTGGCTGTTTTGCGCTGCACACTGTTTTGTTCTTCCTTGTCAAATACCCCTTTCACTTCAGTCTTGATGTGTATTGGAAACTTATACTCCTCTCTCCAGGGACAGCATTTAAGGATCTATCAGTTGCAGGTAAATCAGTGGTTTGTCTGCCGAGCCGTTTGGCCTGGTGGATAAAACTACTTCTCTTTAGTCGTCCCAAAGCTAAATTTTTGAATCTTTCATTCATAGGGTGACTGGGCATACTAAGAAAATAGGTTAATGTAAGAACTGGGTTAGACATAACAATTAGGTCAAGATAGGTTAATGTAAAAACTGGGTTAGACATAACAATTAGGTCAAGATAGGTTAATGTAAGAACTGGGTTAGACGTAACAATTAGGTCAAGATAGGTTAATGTAAGAACTGGGTTAGACATAACAATTAGGTCAAGATAGGTTAATGTAAGAACTGGGTTAGACATAGAGTGTTCAAAAAAGCATGTATTGTATGATGAATTGACTGAAGACAAAATTATTGCTTGGAAACTCAATGGTGGAGGTGGGGGTGGGGTGGGGCGGGGAACACACACAGGAACAATCAAATGTTTTCCAAAGCTTTTATGATGAGTAGCACAACAAGAAAATTAGAAATCCTAGATATTGACTCCCAACATGGGAGAATTCCTAACCTGACCCATTCACATGACACTTGTTCTGAGCATATCTAATAATAAGACCATAGTTAGTTAGCCATTTTTTGGTATATTATCTTCCTCTGCACATTGAACCATTCAGTTCATAAGTGCTTGGATCCCCTCCTCAGTAAATCTCACAGCAAGTAGCTGCTGTCGACATGAGTTCTGTGATGGTTTCTCATTCTTCTTTGGCTTTCTGCATAGTGCTAGTGTCTGGTCACACTCATTTTAACTTACTGTCCTTACAGTTTGGTCATGGTTGCAGACTCATAATCACTTGGTTCTGGCATTCACTATAACAGTCTTCTGATCCATGGCTCATCCACACTTCACAGTGGCTTGGAAACTTGCCTTACCGGCAAGCCTATCAGCTTATGTCCTTGTATGCCTGTGTACCCTCACATAAAAATGAAACTGACTGAGACTAAGTGTATGTTGCATGCATGAAATTATCATCCTAAAAGCTGAGCACTTCAGTATTTAAAAAAGGAATGTAAGATAGTTGAGGCTGAGATAACAGGCATTCTGACTTACAATTAAAAATATAGCCGCCAGCATCAAGGCTTTGTGTTTGACAAGAAGGTCCATTGGAACTGTGGATGGAAAATAAACAAAAAATATAACTAGACAAATCACCACCATAATCACCATTGAGTTATGAGTTGGGTTACTGTAACAGGACTCTAGCCACATCTATCAGTGCTTAGATTTCACCTCACCAATTAACATCAGAATCCCACAGTGAATTGTGCCAGTCCTGTCCTGGTTGAAAATATTTCGCATACATAGCTGTGCCAATCTCATAAAAGGCTGTGCCAATCTCACACCTGGCTGTGCCAATCTCATGAATGGCTGTGCCAATCTCATGAATGGCTGTGCCAATCTGAAGCATGGCTGTGCCAATCTGAAGCATGACTGTGCCAATCTCAAGCATGGCTGTGCCAATCTGAAGCATGACTGTGCCAATCTCAAGCATGACTGTGCCAATCTCAAGCTTAGCTGTGCCAATCTCATGCATGGCTGTGCCAATCTCATGCATGGCTGTACAAATCTCATGTATGGCTGTACAAATCTCATGTATGGCTGTGACAGTCTCAAGCATGGCTGTGCCAATCTCATGTATGGCTGTGGCAATCTCAAGCATGGCTGTGACAGTCTCAAGCTTGGCTGTGGCAATCTCAAGCATGGCTGTGACAGTCTCAAGCATGGCTGTGGCAATCTCATGAATGGCTGTGGCAATCTCAAGCATGGCTGTGGCAATCTCAAGCATGGCTGTGACAGTCTCAAGCTTGGCTGTGGCAATCTCAAGCATGGCTGTGACAGTCTCAAGCTTGGCTGTGCCAATCTCATGAATGGCTGTGGCAATCTCAAGCATGGCTGTGGCAATCTCATGAATGGCTGTGGCAATCTCATGCATGGCTGTACAAATCTCATGTATGGCTGTGACAGTCTCAAGCTTGGCTGTGCCAATCTCATGAATGGCTGTGGCAATCTCAAGCTTGGCTGTGCCAATCTCATGAATGGCTGTGGCAATCTCAAGCATGGCTGTGGCAATCTCAAGCATGGCTGTGGCAATCTCATGAATGGCTGTGGCAATCTCATGCATGGCTGTGGCAATCTCAAGCATGGCTGTGGCAATCTCATGCATGGCTGTGGCAATATTTCCCTCAATTCTTGCATTATTAGCAGCAATGTAGACAAGCAGCACCCTCACCCCTACCAAAAAACAAAACGAAACAAGGGCATTAACAGGAGTGTCATCCATCACCTATGATGAAATTTCAGGTTGTAGACCCTGAGGCAGCCATACTGGCATCTGGCGCTGGTGAATCCTTGCCAGTGGCCAACTATTTAATCTGTTACTCTTTAACGAATTAACTGCCTGGTATTAATTCTAATCTTCTTTTACTTGTTATGTTCACAATTATCTCCCTTTTATTTCTCCAGTGGCTGTTGTATTATTGACTTTCTGCTTGTTAGCAAAGGTGCAACGACTGACTGACTGACTTTCTACCCCACCAGGACATCACACAAGCGGTAAAAACCCGATGACACAATGTGCCACCATGCGGGTGAGGATCACCGTGGAGAGGTCCCAGAAACCGCATTCAGCCTTTAGGCCATATTTATGGCCAGGCTATATTGCAGCCCCTAGCAAGAGCCAGAGTAGGGCTTCAAATAACGAAAAATTCATCCTGAAAAGGACGAGTAGTAATATAAGCAAAGGTGCAAGTTTGACACTGGTAACAACTAAATGTCTGCTAAAAATAAAAGAGTTCTAATGATATTAGCTTAGGTTTGTTTCTTCACATGCACCGTAAGTGATGAATGAATGAGGTCAAGCAGCATAATCAAATGAAGGAAGGGCCAGATTTTACTTGATGATGCCCTAAGCTTTGTAAAAGCTGGAGGCCCCTACCATTTTTAATTACACCAGTTAATCTTAGAAAACTTTTAAATATTTACACCTTCAAATATGTGGGTAATGGAAATATACTATCATTTAATTTTTATTAGAAGAAATATTAAAGAATATGTTTGCAAAATCACAGAAGTTATTTTACATAATTCTAAAAAAAAAAAAAAACACAAATCATGAAGTTACATATTAAACATTTGTTTCTTGTTTCCCAAATGCAGAATCATTGATTATGTCATCAAAAGATACACAGCGTAACAAGCAGGCAATGTTTTACGCCCCTGCAGATTGTGATGTCCTAACCTGTACTTTAATTAGCCTTTAACCTAAATGTGACACTGAAGAAGAGGATAACAAACTGTCTTACATGAGACTCCAAAAGTATCAGCTTTAGTGTAAGCCTCCTGGATCAAACCACCCCAGATCTTGCGGATGTTTCCCACTTGTGTTTTGTCACTTATGTTGCAAATCTGGAGAGAAAAAAAGACACTCAAATATAAACAAAAAAAAAGGCTTTCTTATAAAAACGATCTACTACCAATTTTCTTCTACTAGTCCATGCCATCTGGCATTGGTAGTCATGTCTTATCCACAGCCTTCTGTCACCTTTGCTTTCAGTCACTTCTGACACAGATGATATTCCATATTCTATGCTGTGTGGTATTGGTCATCATGTTAATCCACAACCTTCTGTTTCGTTTACTTTCAATCACTTCTGACACATATGATCTTCCATATTCCATGCCATGTGGCATTGATAATCATGTCTATCACAACCTTCTGTTCTGTGTACATTTAATCATTTCTAACACAGATGATTTTCCATGCCATTTGTCATAGGCCATCATGTCTATCCACAACCTTCTGTTTCGTGTACTTTCAATCATTTCTGACACAGATGATCTTTTATGCCATGATGTCAAACTGTCTGGCATCTTCTCTCTTGGTCTCCTTCTGCCTCTTTCCCCCTCCAACTTTTCCACTGTCACAATGTACTCTAGTTTTCTCCTGCTCATGACACGATAATAGAATGTAGATTTTCTCTTTCTGATGTGAGCAATCAGTTCTCTCCATGAATCAATTTACCGAGATCAATTATCTACCCTTATATAAACAGCAGAATCTGTTAGGATGAAGGTAAATCTATTTTCTACAACATCCTCAAGTTTCATCTTATTCTAACCAATTGTTTGCATGTAACTAGTATTTTTGTATATCATGTTGAATTTTCCTGGTAATGCCCAGGAGCTTAGGTATAGGGGGCAGATTCAGGGCCTCAGGTCTGGTAGGGTTAAGTATATGGGAACAAAAATTAAGAAAAACAAACTAAAGCAAAGGCTTTAATTGCGTTAGGTTATTATCTAGGGAAGTCAGAAGAAATTAAATTAAATACCAAACTAAGATGATATCATTCTAATATGAAATTATAAACACTAAAAATTATTAATAAACTACAAATTCGTCAACTGGTGAGTACAAAGAACAGAATTAAAAATATTTAAACCAGATCGACCATTTCATGGTAAACAGAAAATGGCGTGGGTCCCTACTCGATGTGCGTGTCAAAAGGGGAGCAGATGTGGGAAGCGATCATCACCTTGTAGTTGCTCTACTACGACTTAAACTCAAAAAAGTTTACACGCAAGTTAAGACACAGACAGCACGTTACAATGTTAACCTTTTGAGAGAAAAAGACATTGCCACTAAATTTATAGTAGAACTCAAGAATAGATTTCAAACACTATCAAGTGACCCAGAAACTCCAACTACAATCAGCATTCAAGACAGATGGAACCAGATCAAAGAAACATACAAATCAACTAGCAGTAACATATTAGGAACCAGGAAACAACACCACAAAGAATGGATAAGCAGTCAAACCATGGACTATATTGCCAAGCGAAAAAGAATAAAGAGCCTCATAAATCTAACTAAATCAGAACGTCAGAAAGACAAACTAATGTTAGAATATAGCGAACTAAATAAAATGACCAAGAAAAGTGCCAGAGCTGACAAGAGAAGATTTATGGAAAATCTTGCAGAAACAGCAGAAAATGCTGCTAAAGCACATGATCTACAAACCCTACACAAAATTATCCAGCAAATTTGCGGAAACAGAAACAATTATCACAGCATACCCATCAGAGATAACCAAGGCAGACTGCTCACTACAGAACAAAAACAAGATATGCAGTGGACTAAACACTTCTCCGACCTCTTGAACAGACCTGATCCTGAAAATCCCCCAGATATTCAACCAGCCTCTCAGGACATTGACATTATTACTGAACCACCAAGCAAACAAGAAATCCTTAAAGCTATCCACACTTTAAAGAACAACAAAGCACCAGGCAAAGATGAACTGTCAGCAGAACTTCTCAAAGTAGATCCCAACACAACTGCTAGCATTCTAGAACCATTATTCAAGGATATTTGGGAAAAAGAAGTGTTGCCTGATGACTGGACTGAAGGAACAATAGTCAAAATCCCCCAAAAAGGAGACTTAACAGACTGCAATAATTGGAGGGAAATTACTCTACTCTCAATACCAAGCAAAATATTTTGTAAAATTATCATAATGCGGCTTGAAAAAGGAGTAGATAAATGCCTACGAGTGGAACAAGCAGGATTAAGAAAGGGCATAGGAACAACTGAGCACATCTTCGCCATACTTAACATTTTAGAACAATGCAACGAATGGCAGAGAAGTATATATATTAATTTTGTGGACTTTGAGAAAGCTTTTGACAGCGTCCATAGAGACGGTCTGTGGAAAATTTTATGACATTATGGAATTCCAGAAAAAATAGTCAACATAATTGCTCTCTTCTATAAAGACTTTTCCTGCAGTATAAAAAAATTACAATACATCTTTCCCAGTAAAGACGGGTGTAAGACAGGGATGTGTTATGTCATCTCTCCTCTTCAACCTTGTGATAGATTGGATACTAAAGAACACAGTAGACAGGACATTAAGAGGCATACAATGGACTCCATTCACCATGCTTGAGGACCTTGATTTTGCAGATTATATAGCACTCCTATCACATAAACTTAAACATATACAAGAGAAAAGCAACAGACTAAACTGCACAGCAGAAATGGTGGGACTGAGAATAAATATAAAGAAAACTAAGATCATGACAAACAGTCCAAACCAACAACCAGTGACCATAAGTAACCAATCACTTGAAAATGTAGAACATTTCACATATCTTGGCAGTGTGGTGTCCCTACTGGGAGGGACAGAGGAAGACATACAGTCACGTCTGAACAAAGCTAGAGCTGCTTTTGGAAGGATGAGGCAAATCTGGAAATCCAACAATTACTGCAGAGGAACGAAACTCCGACTCTACAAGAGCATCATTTTACCAGTTCTTCTTTATGGAGCGGAATGCTGGAGAATGACCAAAAAGGATGCACACAAGCTGTCCACCTTCCACCACACATGTCTGCGTAGAATTATCAACATTTTCTGGCCAGATACAATCTCAAACACTAAACTACTTCAAGCCACAAACCAAGAAACTTTAGACAGTATGATTACCAAGAGAAGATGGAAATGGCTTGGCCACGTTATGAGAATGACTTCTGATATACCTGCCAAAACAGCTCTCACATGGACACCAGAGGGAAAGCATGGAAAGTCCTCTCTGAAGCCTCATGTGCCACTAGGCAAAACGAGAACTGATGAATAAAAAATATGAAGCTTTTGAACAAAACCAAACAAATCCAAGTAATATCAAGGACAAAGTACTGGTGCAGATGAGGCGTAATTTGGGGAAGCTTGCTGACAGTATGAATGATAATTCATAATACATACACATAAAAAGAGATAGAAGAAGACCTAATATCATTTGGAAAACACATAGCTGAAAGACAAAGATGAATAAGGTGGAAGTGGAAAGACAAGAAGCTAGCAAAGAGCAGGATTGTTCGGTGAAGCACAGGGTCTGCTGTGATTAGTGCTAAATGAGGAGGAAGGAGAGGAGATGAAGAGAGAAGAAGAAAAAGAAGAAGAAAGAGAAGGAGGATGAAGGGAAGAGGGAAGGAGGAAGACAAAGAAGAAGAGAAAGAAGAAGAAGAAGAAGAAGAAGAAGAAGAAGAAGAAGAAGAAGAAGAAGAAGAAGAAGAAGAAGAAGAAGAAGAAATATTTCTTGTGCACTAATCATTTCAAGGGTGTGATGACAAGATTCTGACATTGTTCTCATACTTACTGGAAAATTGACATCCTCTGTCATACAAACACACTGGCAGCCACAGCAAGGAGCCCAAATCTCATACAAGGGCACATCATTCTCATCAAAGATTCCAAAACGCAGCTGGCAACAAGAATTCCTGTTCCAGGAAACAAAATCAGTAACAATGAGAATAAAGATGTGGTCTATGTATGACCGTTGTGGTCTGAAGCCGGCTTATTCTTCTCTTAGCCTTTCATCTAAAGACTTTTTCAATCTCTCAAGTAACATGCTACAAAAACGTTTTCCTGGCACTAAAACCAGACTGTCATGGTGCTGAGGTTTAAATGCTTTGTGTTCCTATGCAAGAATTATTTTAATGATGGAGAGTCTTTAAAAACTGGCCTTGGTTTCCAGGTCAACAGAATCTTTGGGCGTCAGATAATGTTCTGCAAATCATCATCATCAACACTGTTCTGTTGTGTCACATAGGGCTTGCAGTCTATTCCTCCCTTCCACTGTACCCTATGCAATCCTTTCAACATCATGGATGGAGTTCAGTCCAGTACCTTTGGCTTCTCTCAGTAACGTTCATGTTAGGATTTCTTTTGGGCGTCTTTAATTTCTAACTTGAGTGCCTGATTGGTGATTGTCTGCTCGTTTCTTTTCAGGGTTTGTCCAATATAGGGCCACCTTATGTGTATTGTTTGCTCGTTTCTTCTCAGTGTGTGTCCACTATAGTGCCACCTTTTGGGTATTGTCTGCTCGTTTCTTCTCTGGGTGTGTCCAATTAAGTGCCACCTTATGTGTATTGTCTGCTCGTTTCTTCTCAGGGTGTGTCCAATTGTCACATTACAGAATTAACACACCTACCACAATAGGCTGGCCCACAGTCTGAACACCCCCATAATCGTTCTTGTAACTATGGTATCGGATAGTCCGTCCGTAGAGATATAGTTCTTGGGTTGTGGGGGAGTCCAGCTGTGAGAAATCTATATAAATCACTCTTAGATTGTTTCTTCTAGGCGTAAAGGGTCAATTTGTATGTTAGGACACCTTTTCTACGCCCGTCGGCAGATTGATAATGCGAATCTGTTTGTCTACGATCGCCTGCGATGGAAGACGATAGATAGGGATCCTGGTTGGAATGCACTTTCGGCTGAAATTTCTCCGTGAATTCTTCGAGCCGGCGTTCTAAACCTCTTCGGATCAATCAATCTACCTATCTGGAGTGTATTTATGGTATTGTTAACCTTGTATGATCAGTTGTTACCTTTTATTCGGTCCCTGAACTTGCTGAGTTGCTGGATCGTTGGAAAGGACAGAGAGCTTCGGGTCAGGCATGACGTCATATCCGCCGTTGCTAGGAGCTACTGTAACCACAACAAGCTTAGGCTTTAGAAATGTTTTCGGAGCATATTTCCTTCTATCTTGATTTTGTCTTCATCTCCTATACCTTATCTTGCCAACTAGTGAAAAGGGTATATTTAGAGGGATGGGGAATTATAGAGATCTGTCTGGCTTTCGCTACAAGACTGGATTCAGAAACTATTCGAGTTAATAGAAACGTACGTATTACTCTCATGCTCACTCTGGGAAACTGTGGGGGTTCTAGGATATATAAAGTCAACCTTCATGGTTTGGACTGGCCCTCATTTACCTCTGAGCTTGTGGAGAGCGTGAGAAGAGTGATTAACGGGGTACAATGGGTGCGGTTTGCTTATGTGTGTTGCCTTGTTAATTTCAGGATTTTGGAAGATCCAACACGCATCCGTGTGGTAGTCAGGTTCTCTCGCCAACCAGCACCTGGGGAGAAGCTGACCTGTGTTGACCAGCCATTGCCTGATATGTCCGACTGTCATTTCTTCAAAGACTTGAACAATCGTTTTGATTCTTTGTGCTACTTTTCTTCTGCCTTGTTATAGTGCATTTATTACATTAAAGTTTTAGTTTATCAGACTTCTTGTTCTTAGAAAAGTTTGGTTTTAAAGGAATCCATTGTCGTAGTCAGAAAGGTGTTCATGTCTTGTCCTACTTACTGTTGTTTATACATTTGACTGTGTTACGTTGTTTACCAGTCTGGGGGCAAATTTAGTAATGGGGATGTCTGGCCGAGAGGTACCCAAGAGATAGGCAGAATGGAAGTTTGAACCGAGGGTTAGGCCTCTAGACAAACGAGAGCCACCATTCACAAGACCCCTGTCTCAGAGCACCTGAGGGGATTTGGAAAATAATCCTCAAGTAAAGGTGTGCGACAAAACTGCCATACGACACCAATTTAGCGCCACCTTTTGTGTATTGTCTGCTTGTTTCTTCTAAGGGTGTGTCTAATTTAGCACCACCTTCTGTGTATTGTCTGCTCGTTTCTTCTCAGGGTGTGTCCAATTTAGCACCACCTTATGTGTATTGTCTGCTCGTTTCTTCTCAGGGTGCGTCCAATACAGTGCCACCTTATGTGTTTACTGGAATGTGATCCTTTCCTGCTATCTCTATGCCCAAAGCCTCCTTCTTATCTCTACTCCAGTACTCACATTTGTCTGATCATGCCCAGCTTGCGTCCAGCCTTGTCATTGACCATCATTGGGTACTGGCAGCAGCCGTCTGCACACCAACAGCAACCGGTGCAACAACGGAATTCCCGGACAATGTTCAGAACTTCCTGAAATTTAAATAATTTGTGTGCTGTGTTAGTAGCTCTTACATTTCCAGAAGTGCTAAATGTAACATAAAATGCAACAAGACAGATCAATGAAGTGAATGGAAAAGAAGCACAAAAATACAGCTGAATGTTTCGACCAAAGTCTTTATCAACAGAATTATAAATACAACATAAAGTGACTGGAAAACTCAATGGACAAGACAACAGAGCTTTTAAACAACCATGGTCAACACGAAACAAAGAAAATGGTTTCATCAAGTCCAAACCCAGCCCTGCTCCATCCTCATCTTCAGCAGCCACATCACAGTTCCAGTGCGCATGGCACCTGTAGCAGTGTGATTACTGAGTGTTGAGCACATCCCCTGGTGACTCTCCACTGCACCAATCTCTTCAGACCGTGATGATCTGTTTGTGCATCTGCACTGTTGACTCACTCACAAAGGACCCTTACAACATCTAGTTTGTCATGCATCAATTCATCATCAGTTGGTGCAGAACCAGCCTAACTATCTGCAGTTTACTTCCAGTCGGTGCAGAAGCAGCCTATCTATCTGCAGTTTACTTCCAGTCAGTGCAGAACCAGCCTATCTATCTGCAGTTTACTTCCAGTCAGTGCAGAACCAGCCTAACTATCTGCAGTTTACTTCCAGTCAGTGAAGAACCAGCCTATCTATCTGCAGTTTACTTCCAGTCAGTGCAGAACCAGCCTATCTATCTGCAGTTTACTTCCAGTCAGTGCACGACCAGCCTATCTATCTGCAGTTTACTTCCAGTCAGTGCAGAACCAGCCTATCTATCTGCAGTTTACTTCCAGTCAGTGCAGAAGCAGCCTATCTATCTGCAGTTTACTTCCAGTCAGTGCAGAAGCAGCCTATCTATCTGCAGTTTACTTCCAGTTGGTGCAGAATCAGCCTATCTATCTGCAGTTTACTTCCAGTCAGTGCAGAACCAGCCTAACTATCTGCAGTTTACTTCCAGTCAGTGCAGAACCAGCCTATCTATCTGCAGTTTACTTCCAGTCAGTGCAGAACCAGCCTAACTATCTGCAGTTTACTTCCAGTCAGTGAAGAACCAGCCTATCTATCTGCAGTTTACTTCCAGTCAGTGCAGAACCAGCCTATCTATCTGCAGTTTACTTCCAGTCAGTGCACGACCAGCCTATCTATCTGCAGTTTACTTCCAGTCAGTGCAGAACCAGCCTATCTATCTGCAGTTTACTTCCAGTCAGTGCAGAAGCAGCCTATCTATCTGCAGTTTACTTCCAGTCAGTGCAGAAGCAGCCTATCTATCTGCAGTTTACTTCCAGTTGGTGCAGAATCAGCCTATCTATCTGCAGTTTACTTCCAGCTGGTGCAGAGCCAGCCTATCTATCTGCAGTTTACTTCCAGTCAGTGCAGAAGCAGCCTATCTATCTGCAGTTTACTTCCAGTCAGTGCACGACCAGCCTATCTATCTGCAGTTTACTTCCAGTCAGTGAAGAACCAGCCTATCTATCTGTAGTTTACTTCCAGTCAGTGCAGAACCAGCCTATCTATCTGCAGTTTACTTCCAGTCAGTGCAGAACCAGCCTATCTATCTGCAGTTTACTTCCAGTCAGTGCAGAAGCAGCCTATCTATCTGCAGTTTACTTCCAGTTGGTGCAGAATCAGCCTATCTATCTGCAGTTTACTTCCAGTCAGTGCAGAACCAGCCTATCTATCTGCAGTTTACTTCCAGTCAGTGCAGAACCAGCCTATCTATCTGCAGTTTACTTCCAGTCAGTGCAGAACCAGCCTATCTATCTGCAGTTTACTTCCAGTCAGTGCAGAAGCAGCCTATCTATCTGCAGTTTACTTCCAGTCAGTGCAGAAGCAGCCTATCTATCTGCAGTTTACTTCCAGTCAGTGCAGAACCAGCCTAACTATCTGCAGTTTACTTCCAGTCAGTGAAGAACCAGCCTATCTATCTGCAGTTTACTTCCAGTCAGTGCAGAACCAGCCTATCTATCTGCAGTTTACTTCCAGTCAGTGCAGAACCAGCCTATCTATCTGCAGTTTACTTCCAGTCAGTGCAGAACCAGCCTATCTATCTGCAGTTTACTTCCAGTCAGTGCAGAAGCAGCCTATCTATCTGCAGTTTACTTCCAGTTGGTGCAGAATCAGCCTATCTATCTGCAGTTTACTTCCAGCTGGTGCAGAGCCAGCCTATCTATCTGCAGTTTACTTCCAGTCAGTGCAGAACCAGCCTATCTATCTGCAGTTTACTTCCAGTCAGTGCAGAACCAGCCTATCTATCTGCAGTTTACTTCCAGTCAGTGCAGAACCAGCCTATCTATCTGCAGTTTACTTCCAGTCAGTGCAGAACCAGTCTATCTATCTGCAGTTTACTTCCAGTCAGTGCAGAACCAGCCTATCTATCTGCAGTTTTACTTCCAGTCAGTGCAGAACCAGCCTATCTATCTGCAGTTTACTTCCAGTCAGTGCAGAACCAGCCTATCTATCTGCAGTTTACTTCCAGTCAGTGCAGAACCAGCCTATCTATCTGCAGTTTACTTCCAGTCAGTGCAGAACCAGCCTATCTATCTGCAGTTTACTTCCAGTTGGTGCAGAATCAGCCTATCTATCTGCAGTTTACTTCCAGCTGGTGCAGAGCCAGCCTATCTATCTGCAGTTTACTACCAGTTGGTAGTTGGTATTTCTTTTCTAAATATGTGTACCTAAATACAGATTTGGGGAGAAAAATCATGGACAGTTTATTTCTGAGAAAAGAGGCAGAGGTTGACCAGCAGGATTGTTGAAGCCAGGTATTCATGACTTTCTGCATATAAACGTTAGCAACAGACCTGATGGCCTGTCCACCTGCCCTGATGATAACGACAGAATGGGGTCTTGTAACAATTTTGGTTGAATGGTTTGATGTAACAGTTGAATGGGACAATTGAACGTAACAAGAAAAATATATACCATCATCACCACCATCATCAGTTAGCAAATTCTTTACAGAACACCACTGTCATTGTGGCACATCTGAAAGTCTCTCTGCATCTCTAGCCAATTTTCCAGCCCAATGTTCTTTCATAGCTTATTCACATTTAATAGCTTGTGTCGACTTTCATAGAGGTCTGCCTTTGCCTGATTTTCAAAAAACACTACCCTCCATCATCATAGTTTGCAGACCACTGTGACATTTAGCATGGCCCAAATACCTCAGCTTTCAAGACAAGATGCTGTATATCTTTGATGATCACATGATGTAGGGCGCTGACGTTTTTTTCTTATTGGTTAATGATATTCTAACTATTTTTCTGGATACCATAGGTGATGAAACAAATAAACACGTGAAGAGTTTACTGGCACTGAAAGAGTAAATCTGTGTATTATAAATTGGGAAGGGCAAACTCTATTTAAAAGAAACAACCAATTTATTGTTGAATGAACTGAGAATAATTAACAAGTTGGCACAGTGGTTACCTGCTGTTGATTGTCTGTAATGTGTAAAACAAATCCTCGACTGGCACCAAAACATATGCGGTTACAGGTATCAGATTCTGGGGAAAGTCAACACTGTCAATTAGAATTATATTCTAATTATATTTAATGGGAAATGTAAATGGAGCAAGTTAAAGATGGTGCTATACTGGATTGGTTGGAAAGGAAAACCATTCGTCTGCAGCGCATCACCCTTTGAACTCTGGACATGCTGCAAACATGGACATCACATTTTGAATTATTTAGACATTGTCAAATAGTAGAGTGCTAGGATTTTTTGAAGCCACCATTATCAGTGATTTATGCCCAAAAGTTTGTAAACAGAAAGACATAATGGTCAAACTGCAGCTGCTCTCGTAAAACAGACAGTTGCTTTTGAAAGTGGTTAATTTTAGTTGTAAAGTATTCACTTGTGTGCCTCATTTTATTTAATTGTTACTGTGGTATGCACCTGCTGAATACAGTGAAATATAGTAAGTAATAAACTGTGCAATAAATTGTTTGTGTCTTCTTTATTCAAATAGTCTAGATTATCTGGCCAGATAATCTAGACTATTTGAATAAAGAAGACTTTATTACTACTGGCAAATTTGATGGGAAAAGAACCAGAGGAAAACAGACAAGGTGGCTTGATGGCATCATGTAGCCGGGACAAAAACAGGACCAGATTTAAAAGTCTGGTGATTATATCCAGAGATGATGCATAGTCGCTCACTCTTGCTGCACGGCAAATCATGTTGATAAACATTGTGTGTTTTCTATTTATTTAAAAAACAAGGTCAGATACTTGCCATAAAATGTTTAAATGGCAGACGACTAGTCGTTCTGCGGACAGAGACAAAGCTTTATGGACTCATCCAGAGTTTAAGTACATAGGGGCATATGGATTTTAGAAAGGACTTACGTGGGGCATGGCACAAACAAGGTTGGGAAACACTGCTATTACAAGATTAAATATGATAACTGATGTGATTTTGCAGACACATTCTTTATTATTTCTTTTCCTAAACATTAAATGATATTTCCATCATCCCTATAATTAAAAGGCTTTATATATTTTGAAGATCTATGTGAATAGTTGGTGCAATTTAAAACAGTAGGGCATCAGGGCTTTATATGGCTTAGGACCTCATCAAGTCTAAACCCAATCCTGCTCGGTCCTCATCTTCAGCAGCCAGCACAGAGTTCCAGTGTGGATGACAACAGTAGCAGTCTGATTACAGAGTGTGAGCACATCCCAGATGTGGAGAGAAAAGTCATGGAAAGTTTATTTCTGGGAAAAGAGGCAGAGGCTGACCAGCAGGATCATGGACGCCAGATATTCAGGAGTCCCTGCGTCTAAAAACTGGCAAGGGACCTGGTGGCTTACCTACATGCCCTAACTATAACGACAGAATAGGGTCACATAACAATTTTGTTTGAATGGATTGATGTAACCTGGTGCATATATAAAGAGTAAACTGACATTAGAATCACTAAGAAAAGAGGGCTGAAGGTTTTTTTTTTCTTTTTCTAATTCATCTTCTTTCTCATGTTCACCAGCAGTTAACTTATGCAGAAAGTTCTGGTTGTTAGTCTGGTTGTTCTTCTACAACTTAAGTGTTACATGAACAAACATTTTACAGGTCTGACCTATTTGTATGCAGATTTTTGGTTCCTTGCCTCTCAGGCAGATACACTTCTACTTCAAAGGATGCCCCCCCCCCCCCTTTTGTCAGCTGCTTCAACATGCTTGTTACGGAAACAGTGAGCCTGTCCTTGTTTTCCCTAACATGGGGTCCCAGAACCCACACAGGGATTTTCTTCTAAATGATATAAGTGATCTCTCAAATTAGTTCCCAGTTTTTTTTTCCTGGCTATAATTTTTTGTCAGTGGTCACACACATGTCAGAGATTCAACTGACCAGACAGATACGTGATATCTCTCGGAGATACTTCAGGTAAATGATTTTGTGTTTTCTTGTTCATGTTTGTGGTATTGTATACTCTTTTAACTCTTTGAGTCCCAGGGGGTTTAGCATTACAGGCCCAGGGGGTAGTAAAGAGAGTCGTACAATCGGCACATCATGCGTTCATTGGGCTTCTAGGTAGGAACCTATGAACGTATGATGCGTTCCTCGGGACTCAAAGAGTTAATCTGCTGATAAAGACTCTCTAGTTACAGCATTCATTTGTCATTTGTATTTGTATAATGTGAAGCTAATTGGTTTTACTTTTCATTTGGTTTGTTATCTTTTCAAATTTGTTTACCCACCCTTGGGGTTGCAGGAGCTACTAATCTTGAATCACTGAGCTAAGGAGATGAAAAATGTTGGATTTCTCCAGTGTTAAAGTGTAGTTGATGTGGTAGACACAGAAGTTGCATACAAAAACAGTTTAACAACTCAATAGTAACAGTGGAACAGTCAGAGAGCACCCACAAAAAAAAAAAGAAGACTGACCTTCATAGGCATAATAGACTTGTTGCTGAATACTGTTGAACACTCGGTACTTGTTCTTACACTCCATGCCACTGAGCACTGGAGAAAACAATGCACTTATTTGTCATGAGGGCATACTTCTTTCTTTACCTATTGGTTTTGACAAAATCACTTTAATGGCACAGGCAACCTCTATGATCAATCCACACCCATTCTATAGACCATTATAATCTTTTTCATGTTCACCATCTGTAAACTCCAGCAAGAGGTTCTGGTTGTCCATCCACCTCCAGAACTTAGTCTCTTTCCAGAACCTGAGTATTGTGCTCACGTCTGTCTTACAGATCTGACTTTTCTATTTGCAGACTGCTGGCGCATTTCCTCTCTGACAAATCTGACTTTGACAGAAATCCCCAGTTAGTCTATCCTATGACATGTTTGTTGGGGAAGTATTGAGTCTGTTCTTATTTTCCCATAAAGAGGCCCTGGAACCCTTACGAAAAAATTATCATAAATCAGCAGGTCTTTTGTAGAACGTCACTCTCATCAACGATGCCTAAAATTCTACAATTATCAGGCCAATTCTTTAGTCCTATATCCTGAAAGTCTACATTTATCAGGCCAATTCTTTAGTCCTATATCCTGAAAGTCTACATTTACCAGGCCAATTCTCTAGTCTTATGTCCTGAAAGTCTACATTTATCATGCCAATTATCTAGTCCCATGTCCTGAAAGTCTACATTTATCAGGCCAATTCTCTAGTTCTATGTCCTGAGAGTCTATATTTATCAGGCCAATGTTCTAGTCCTATGTCCTGAAAGTCTACATTTATCAGGCCAATTCTCTAGTCTTATGTCCTGAAAGTCTACATTTACCTGGCCAATTCTCTAGTCCTATGTCCTGAAAGTCTACATTTACCAGGCCAATTCTCTAGTCTTAAGTGCTTTTGAAGCCAATCATCTTCAGTGTCTTATATCCATCTTCACAGAAGTCTGCCTTTGCCTCAATTTCAGGAAACTACCCACCATCATCATTCTTTAAAGGCCACCATGACATTTGACATGGCCAAAATACCTCAGCTTTCAGGACAGGATGCTCATTAATAGCCATTTCTGCTGAATGCTCTGATGATGTTGGATGTTGGATGTTTTTGTCTTCTTCTTGGTCCATGGTTTTCTCGGAATTTTTCTGTGGTATTCCAGTTCAACAGCTCCAATTTTGTTCGTCAATGATTGACTAGAAGTTCATGACTCACATTCATAAACTGGCAAGCGAAAGATGCATGATCTCAAGATTTTTACTCTAACTTGCTTTCACGTGCCATGCCATAGTTTCTTTATCATGTTTAGTCTCTACATTGCTAAAGTGAGTCTGTTTATTTCTTCTATTGTGTAGTTGCTATAGCTGTTCAATACTGAGCCTACATATTTAAAATCTGTGATTTGTTTTTCTTTTGGTCTATTCATTATTGATTTTAAAACTTGGTTGGTGGTCTGTAGTCGCTGCCAAAATAGAAAATTTTTTCTCAAACTTCACAGGCAACCTCTATGATCAATCCACACCCATTCTATAGACCATTATAATCTTTTTCATGTTCACCATCTGTCAGAATTTATTCTTCTAAACCACAGATCATATGTGTAGGCATTTCTATGTGTTTTAATTTCCTTATATACAAAGTACACAAAGGTATTTCCAGAGGTGTTCTAATTTCCCCTTAGACAATGGTATTCCATAAGTGTTCTGATTTCCTTACACACAAAGGTATTTCCAGAATTGTTCTAATTTCCACTTACACAGTGGTATTCTATAAGTGTTCTGATTTCTTCACACACAAAGGTATTTCCATATGTTCTAATTTCCTCACATACAAGGGTATTTCCATAAGTTATAATATCCTCATACACAAAAGTATATCCATAAGTGTTTCAATATCCTCATGTTCTAATATCCTCACATACAATGGTATTTCCATATGTTCTAATATCCTCATACACAACGGTATTTCCATATGTTCTAATATCCTCATACACAACGGTATTTCCATATGTTTTAATATCCTCATACACAAAGGTATTTCCATATGTTCTAATTTACTTATACACAACGGTATTTCCATATGTTCTAATTTACTCATACACAAATGTATTTCCATATGTTCTAATTTACTCATAGACAAAGGTATTTAAATAAGTGCGCTAATTTCCTCCAAGAAGGTTACCACAAAAATATCTCTACAATTGATCTAATCTCTCTCCATAGATCACACAAGTTTATGAACATACATGTTCCACCCCCCCTTCCCACCAAACCCCCCTCAAAACATTCTTCTGACACTCCCAGCATGCACTGCATCAGCTAGATAGAAAGAAATGGGACTCACCATCATACTACAGAAGGATACATAAAATTTATGCTCAGTCTACGCTGTGCTTAGGCTTGCATGTCTAACTTGTCATCGTTCAACATACATTCCATACACAAACACACACATACACACGCACTCCACGCACAAACACCACACAAGCATACACCCAACACAAACACACATATATACATATTCACACACACACACACACACACAAAAGCATGTTGACATATGTGCACATGTAACACATACACATAGTCATACACACCTACACATATCCACACTGATGCACACACACAAACAAACTCACCATACAAAGGTGTATATAAACACACACACACCACACACAAACACACTCTCCCATCTTGGTAATCATGTCTGGCCACAGCCTTCTGTCTCCTGTACTGTCAAAAACACACACACACCTGTATACACACACTTGCACACAAAAACACACACACCCGTGTACAAACACTTGCACACATAAAAACACACACACCTATGTACACACACTTGCACACAAAAATACACACACCTGTGTACATACACTTGCACACAAAAACACATGCACACTAGTGTACACACTTGCGCACAAAACACACACACACACATATATGGTTTATACTTTACGCTACATGTTTGTTCATCAGCGTTTCCTTATCCTTGAGACAGTAAAATAAATCTTCACACTCATGCAGTAACAACTGAAATGGTTGACATAAAACCACGTTTTACATTCTTATCATTTGTTGCAATGATACAAATACAATAATACACACGAAATTTGTATTATATATAGAATAACCAAACAAATTTGTATTATTCATAGAATATATCAAAAAATTTGTATTAACAAATACTGTATACAAATAATTTTTTGTGTTTAAAAGTATACCTAGACATTACTGATTAGTGAGGACTGTCTTCCCAACTCTCAGGTCAGATCCATAGGTGCTCCGGTCTCCTACTCAGTAGCCTCACAAGCATAAAATGACCGACCCCGCTCATTCTGTGTTCATTAATTAGGCGTCCTATGCCAGTAGCAAAATTGTTAATGTCTGCTGCTTCAGACTATGCTCCCATATCCCAGCAATGTGGACAGGGATACGGATTTAAGCTTATTGTTGCGGTTGTCTTTGCAAGATGCATCTTGCATGTCATTAATGAAATCACTCCTGTTCACTGCCAGGTCAGTAATTGTAACCGCACTGTCCGGCAGACAACCTGCATACTCATTGCCTTGAACACCTATATAGCCTGGCATAAAGACAAAGGTTATGTGAGTGAAACAGGCGCTGGACGACTGTTATATAAATTGAATTAGGCTTATTTAAGCGAGCTAAAAACCTGGCCAACTTGGGGGTCAGGAAGTGATAAAAACAGACGGGAGTGACCATTTTCGCTCTCTTATGCCACTGGTTTTAGGACGAGTAACATGTAGTTCTGATTTGTCCGTTGCGTTCAATGGTTTTACGCAACGTGGGTTGAGATGTGTAGGCAAAGATAGGTTCCATCTGTTGTAGGGTATTTTCTAACACGTTGTGAATTGTAATGCATAATTATTTGTGAAGACCTTAGATGATGTTCAGTGAAATAAATAGATGTGAATGTGATAATGATAGTCCCAGCTTTTGATTCGGATTAGTACTTGTGGCTAGTGTGCGTAATTTGTTTATTTGTTACCTGGCTTATTAGACTTTACACAGAAGATCTCGTGTCTGAACTAGAATATTCTTGTTTCTAGTCCCCACCTAACGAACTATTTTCCTTTATTTTTATCTTGGTACTTACGGCTTCTCCGCCCTAGTACATGAGTTATTCACCATTAACTTAATGAGAGCTGACTCTTGCCTAATGAAGCAGGCCTGGATCTTCTTGAGCATATTTGTGGGTTGCTTAGTATGCATATGTGTGTGAACTCTTGAGTCCCCAGCCACGACAATGTACTTGTCACAGCTATGGTCTCCATTGCAAGGCTGCAGGCTGTAACAGCTAGGCATCACTCACCTTATTGGTGGTTTTTATTTCTCCTTTTGAGCTCACAGTGAATTCCCATGCAACTTTGTTTGTCCATGGTAAATGAGTGATACCTGTTAGCTGCAGCATCATCTTCACCTGTGTTTCCATCCGTCAGCATTTGGCAGTTTTATCAAATATGATTCAGGGCCGTGATACAGGGCTGTGATACAGGGCCATGATACAGGGCCGTGATACAGGGCTGTGATACAGGGCCATGATACAGGGCTATGATACTGAGCTGAGATACAAGGCCATGATACAGAGCCATGATACAGGGTTATGATACAGTGCCAAGATACAGGGCCGTGATAGAGGGCCATGATACAGGACGGTGATACAGGGCTCTGATACAGGGCTGTGATACAGGGCCATGATACAGGGCTGTGATACAGGGCTGTGATACAGGGCTGTGATACAGGGCTGTGATACAGGGCCATGATACCGGGCTGTGATACAGGGCTGTGATACAGGGCTGTGATACAGGGCCATGATACAGGGCTGTGATACAGGGCTGTGATACAGGGCTGTGATACAGGGCTGTGATACAGGGCTGTGATACAGGGCCATGATACAGGGCTGTGATACAGGGCCATGATACACGGCTGTGATACAGGGCTGTGATACAGGGCTGTGATACAGGGCCATGATACAGGGCTGTAATACAGGGCTGTGATACAGGGCTGTGATTCAGGGCCGTGATACAGGGCCGTGATTCAGGGCTGTGATACAGGGCTGTGATACAGAGCAATGATACAGGGCTGTGATACAGGGCTGTGATACAGGGCTGTGATACAGAGCAGTGATTCAGGGCAGTGATACAGGGCTGTGATACAGGGCCATGATACTGGGCTGTGATACAGGGTCATGATACAGGGCCATGATTCACGGCCATGATACAGGGCCAAGATACAGGGCCAAGATACAGGGCTGTGATACAGGGCCATGATACAGGGCCAAGATACAGGGCCGTGATACAGAGTCATGATACAGGGCCAAGATACGGGGCCATGATACAGGGTCATGATACAGGGCCAAGATACAATGCCATGATACAGAGTCATGATACAGGGCCAAGATACAGGGCCGTGATACAGGGCTGTGATACAAGGCCATGATACAGAGTCATGATACAGGGCCAAGATACAGGGCTGTGATAGAGGGCTGTGATACAGGGCTGTGATACAGGGCTGTGATACAGGGCTGTGATACAGGGCCGGGATACAGAGCTGTGATACAGGGCAGGGATACTGATGTATGGTGCAGTAGGCAAAGGCATCCATTGATTTCCTGGATTAATATCCGGATGGTGACAAATCTGTGGAAGACATCACAGAATGACCGATTCAAGATTCTCCTCCTTTAGGTTTCCATTCAGACTTAAACAGTTGATCATGAAGCAGTTGTCAAGGGACTGACTTTACCTTGAGGAAAATCTTGGCCTTGGAAAGTTTTATTTTTTTGTTCATTGTGAGAAAAACCCAAGAGGTGTATCATCGATTGGCAGGAGGTATCTCTAGCGCATCCAATACAACATTTTCCCCCAACCCGTTCATCTTTGTGGCGCTAAGATCGCCTGTGCATTCTCAGTGATCAAAGTAAAGGACCCTTTTCTGCACCTTCAAGCGTTTTGAATATTTAGTGATATAGCTGTATGTTCAGTGTTCGCTTGCTGTTTTACCTTCCCAGGTAAGCTGTATGTTTAGTGGGTGATGTGATCAACATCATGCTAGCTGTCTTACCTTCCCAGGTAGGCTGTATGTTCAGTGGGTGATGTGATCAACATCACGCTTGCTGTCTTACCTTCCCAGGTAAGCTGTATGTTCAGTGTGTGATGTGATCAACATCACGCTAGCTGTCTTACCTTCCCAGGTAAGCTGTATGTTCAGTGTGGATGTGATCAACATCACACTAGCTGTCTTACCTTCCCAGGTAAGCTGTATGTTCAGTGGGTTATGTGATCAACATCACGCTAGCTGTCTTACCTTCCCAGGTCTTTACCTGGTACCTATTTCAGGCTGGGTCTTGGTGGTGGAGAGGACTAATCCCTGATGCAGCATCAAAGCAGTAGCTGTTCAAAGTTCATAGAAGCCATAACTGTTGCTGACAAATCTTGATTGACCATGACATTAAAGTAGTCTACAAGTTCGTTAAATGTTAGGTATATATTACAAAATATACCTAGATATTTCCTACGTAGAAATGTCTGTGACTAACCTTCAAAAAGTTCAACTTCCTGTTTGATGATCAGTTGGTCAACAGCAGCCAGGTATTCCAGCCCTTCAGGTACGCCCGGTATGGCTCCGGGATGTGGCATCAGCATATCTGTGATAAAACAGGGAAACATGATGATGATGGGTGGACCCCGGATGTGGCATCAGCATGTTTGTGATAGAACAACAGGGTAACATGATGATGATGGGTGGACCCCGGATGTGGCATCAGCATGTTTGTGATAGAACAACAGGGTAACATGATGATGATGGCTGGACCCGGGATGTGGCATCAGCATGTCTGTGATAGAACAACAGGGTAACATGATGATGATGGGTGGACCCCGGATGTGGCATCAGCATGTCTGTGATAGAACAACAGGGTAACATGATGATGATGGGTGGACGCCGGATGTGGCATCAGCATGTTTGTGATAGAACAACAGGGTAACATGATGATGATGGGTGGACCCCGGATGTGGCATCAGCATGTTTGTGATAGAACAACAGGGTAACATGATGATGATGGGTGGAACCCGGATGTGGCATCAGCATGTCTGTGATAGAACAACAGGGTAACATGATGATGATGGGTGGACCCCGGATGTGGCATCAGCATGTCTGTGATAGAACAACAGGGTAACATGATGATGATGGCTGGACCCCGGATGTGGCATCAGCATGTTTGTGATAGAACAACAGAGTAACATGATGATGATGGGTGGACCCGGGATGTGGCATCAGCATGTCTGTGATAGAACAACAGGGTAACATGAAGATGATGGGTGGACCCCGGATGTGGCATCAGCATGTCTGTGATAGAACAACAGGGTAACATGATGATGATGGGTGGACCCCGGATGTGGCATCAGCATGTTTGTGATAGAACAACAGGGTAACATGATGATGATGGGTGGACCCCGGATGTGGCATCAGCATGTTTGTGATAGAACAACAGGGTAACATGATGATGATGGGTGGACCCCGGATGTGGCATCAGCATGTTTGTGATAGAACAACAGGGTAACATGATGATGATGGGTGGACCCGGGGGTGGGGATTAGTTGTGTTTCTCAAAAATTTACACTTTTTTATTTGCTACTGTCAAATATATGTATACACACACAAATGCACACACACATACACACACAATACATGCAGAGACACACAATACATACACACACACACACACACACACACACGCATAGTTGCTGTTATTACTAATTTATACTTTTTTATTTGCTTGTCACACAGACACAGACACACACACACACACACCCATGCACACACACATACACACAGTTAGAGCATACAGACCAGACCAGATGCGTGCACGCCTACCCCCCACCCATCCACCCACCCACACACAAACACACACACACACACACACACACACATATATATATATATATATATATATATATATATATATATATATATTTATATATATATATATATATATATATATATATATATATATATATATATATATATATATATATATATATATATATATATATATATATTTTTTTTTTTGACATCTTTCCGTCTTTCCAGACAAAAGTGTTATATTGCGCTGAGGAGATATGGGACTCACAACCCATGGTGATGGCGAGTGTGACTAGCAAGACCCGCCCGTGTATAGTAGTCTTCCACAATGATAGCAAGGGATTTCAGGACCATTGTTGTCACTCAGCTCTCATCTTTTCTGCAGTCATATCTTCCTTCTCTCCCATTCCCTTCCTGATATGCTCTCTCCACACAACATCTTGTTCCCATGAGTCCACCTCAATACCTGTATCATTCATATCCCACTTGCACACATCTTTATACCGTAGTAGAGGTCGGCTTCGACATCTTCAACCCATCTTTAATTCACCATTAAGGATGTCCTTAGGGACAACCTCCACTCTCCAGGTGTGACCCAGCCACCTGAGCCTTCATAGACTGAGCATGGAAAAGACTGTTGTAGTACCTGCTCTTTCCAGTACTTCAATGTTTGTGATTTTGTCCTGCCACTTAATGCCAAGTTTTCTTCTTGGGCATCGAATGTGAAAGCTATAGCCATTTCTCCCAGCATCATCTGTAAACAGCAGCTCTCTGATAAGTAACTTTCTTATCCTGGTTTTGGCCTCCATGCATACATACACACACACAGGCACCCACACACACACACACAAGCACACATGCACCCACACACACACACAGACGTGCACACATACATTTATACACACATACAGATAAATTCTCAGCTGACATTCAGGCAATGATAAAAGAGTCCCTCAGCCTAATACATGTAATCATAGCCGCTCAGCCTAATACATGTAATCAAAGCCCCTCAGCCTAATACATGTAATCATAGCCCCTCAGCCTAATACATGTAATCATAGCCCCTCAGCCTAATACATGTAATCATAGCAGGTCAGCCTAATACATGTAATCATAGCCCCTCAGCCTAATACATGTAATCATAGCCGCTCAGCCTAATACATGTAATCATAGCCGCTCAGCCTAATACATGTAATCATAGCCACTCAGCCTAATACATGTAATCATAGCCGCTCAGCCTAGTACATGTAATCATAGCCACTCAGCCTAATACATGTAATCATAGCCACTCAGCCTAATACATGTAATCATAGCCTCTCAGCCTAATACATGTAATCATAGCCTCTCAGCCTAATACATGTAATAGTAATGACTTGTCAACACTTACACTGGGGTGGAGGCATTCCTGGCTGATTCATCACAGTCTGTGGATAGCCTTGGGCATCTATAATTGTAATTATAAGAGTAATAATAATAAAAGTAATAATAATAGTAATAATAACACTATTAAATGTAATAGTAATATCACTAATAATATAACTAATAAAAGTAATAATAATAACAATAGTAAATAACTATTGCATGGCTACTGCTGTCGCCACGACTGTGCAGGTAATGATTTTATTTTGCCCCCGATATAAAAAATCCCCAGCCTTACCGAGGGTTGAACCTAGGTCTCCCGCTTGAGAGCATATCGTTCCAACAGTTCGGCCAGCCACTTCTCTGTGCCAGACACAATGTAATTCGATTTTGTTTTCTACCATAAACATTTGACCCGTTATTTTAAAATTCAACATTTTATGTTGTATGTACTAAGTTAGGTGCCGCCCATCGGAAAAGTCATGCATATGTGCTTTTTTCCTTGATCTAAGTACTCATTGTTGGCGTCTGTGGCTTAGGCGTTGCGAACGCGCTTCATAATGCTGAGGTGCCGGGTTCGATCCCTGCTGTGGACGTTTTGTCTTGCGCTAGGTTCGACAGTGGTACCGAGAGCTGACCGTTAAGGAAGCAATGGCAAACTACTGAACATTAAATGTGCCTAGAAAAAACCACAACAGCCAATAAATGCTGGGGTTGGTTCTGTAATGTCCCGTAAAGGGACACAACTAATTATTACTTATTACGCATGTCCTATATGTATGACAAGCTGGAGAGAGTGAACAGTGCCGAGGAACAGATAGATCATTACGGTTTGAGGAGAATGGCACTGCCAGGAGTTACATGGGGATGGCCGACGCTTGACACTCAGGGGAAAGGCGACGGATATACAATAAGACAGTTACTGGTACCATCGGAATTTTAACGCTTGCTGCTGAAGATAGGGACGGAGAGTTTATGGGAGTGTCCCGAGTTTCGTGATGTCGATTCTTAATTCAACAACAACATTCCTTCGCATGTACTATGAAATCTTAGGGGATGAAAGAGCTGCAAGGGGAGCGTCTACCAGTGCCGATCAATACACTGTCTGTTTATTCTATTTATCCGCTAAACTGTCGTGGTTATCACGGAAGAGCGGGACAGAAGAAGCGATGTTTTCAGTCTCATACGTTACACTTACCGCGAAGGCAAACACAGTAAACGGAGTGACAGTATTTCCCTGTCCAGACTGATGGACATGGTGGGGGGGGGGGGGGGGGCACCCAGGGGCAGCAAGAAATGAATTCTTCATCAAATGGATAAGACTTGATTAACCAACAAATAAACAGACTTTAGTTGTTTTACACGTGTAGAGCCTTTGAGGAGGAGATGGGAGTACCTATGGATCTGTTCGGAGAGCTGTACTGATAACCCGCACTTATCCACTATTCACTAATCTCTGAGCGGCAAACTCAGTCATGTATTCAAGGTCGCAGATTCATGAGAATGCCCGGACACCATTTCCGTCCAGGTACTGAGGCAAGTCATTTGCACGGCCGACTCTATTATGGAGGCGGTGGTAATTTGCACATATACGCAGGATTACCTGGTAACAATTTCAGGCCGACAATTAAGACGTTTGTGACAGGCCGTGAACACAATTAGAATAGATGTGAGAAACAAAGAAATTACAAGAACTAACGAAAAAATAAAACTAACCACCTGTGAAATGAGATGTTTGAGAATGGCTGTGAATAAAACCAGAAGAGATCGAGTGAGAAACGACGAGATTACAAGAATTGTTGGAACAACACCCATTGTCTAATTTATTGAGAAATAAAGAATGAAATGGTTTGGCCATCTAATTAGAATGAAACCAACGATGCAGCAGCAGGACCGTACAACCTGAAAATTGAATCACCAAGACGCAGGGGGAAGGCCGAGAATAAGATGGATTGAAGGAGTTACTGACACCTTGAGACTGCTTAATATCACCGCATATCAAGCGACCGAGCGCGCCCGTGCTCGGCTGCCGATCGTCTGCTGAACATATTGAAAAAAGAAAAGAAAGAGGAATGGAACAATACGCATAATTAAATTCACTTAAAAATAACTACTGCAGCCGCTTGGCATTTAATGCGAATGAATCCAATGATGCCAGCACAGCCTGCGTCAAAGCCGGAGTAGGTCGTGGATGCCAGCAAGGCGAGAATAGAACATGAAAGTGTATAGACACACCAATAGGTAAGAAGAATATTGCTTGAAGGAGTAACTGATGTCTTGTGATGAGGTGCTTTGCATGGTCTCCACGAGTACATTGTGGCAAGCAGAAAGTCCGTGCTACAAGTGACTGAGGCTGGTCGAGTAAGCGAGGGGAAGCCCAAGCAAGACTCGTGGTCAGTTGGTTGGTCAGTTGGTTACCAGAAGTTATAGAAGACGGTTGTGTTAATGGAAGATGTAGTTCTTATGTCGTGTGAATGACCAGTGTTTGAATATGTCGCAAGCGATGGAAGTGTGAATAATCGTTGGAGCATGTTGAATAAATGCAACAGAATAAACTGAAGCACGTACAAGGAAGCTGAGCGGCGTTTGTGTTATCAGTCCTAGACGTTAGAGCAGTGCAAGTAGATATTTTGCATTAATCATATAGAGTTGAATCGTGGCGAAGCAGATACGTTGTCAGCCAAGGTTCATCTCAAGATGAAAGTCCAGAGCATCACAACATACCGGGCAACCGAGCATGTCTTAGCTCGGATATCGATCACCTGATAACATGCGGTATGTGGCGGCACAAAGCAGAATATGGACAACAGAAAGAAAGAAAGAAAATTTAAGGCTGATACAACCTCGTAACCAAATCCTATTTTGACAATCCTAGATGCCGTCTCAAACCGTAGGCTACCGGTCCTGCTGAGCTGCGTCTAGACACCCACCCACCCTCAACTCCCTCATTTCTCTAATGTTATTCATTTTTCTTGATGGTGTTATTCTATATTTCTACTAACTTTCCTTAGCTTTGTCCTCATATTTCTTCAACGTGAATTTCTGTGGCAGTTTGTGCTACAGCCTTCTTGTCAGATGGCCAAATCATTTCATCCCTTGAACTGTATAACTAATGTCATGCATAGTCTGCTTTGCAAATACAAACACACACACACACACACACGGAAATATGCAAACATGTAGTAGTAGTAGTAGTAGTAGTAGTAGTAGTAGTAGTAGTAGTAGTAGTAGTAGTAATAGTAGTAGTAGATTTTACCCCACTAGGATATCATATATTGAAGAGGGTTGGCTAGTAAAGACAATAAAACAAAGAAAATTGAAATATTTTGGTCACTTGAAACGTCATGGAAGTCTAGAGAGAACAATAATGGAGGGGTATATGCCTGGGAAGAGAGGAAGAGGAAGGCCAAGGAGAAGATGGGTGCAGGATGTGGCAGATGATCTCCAGATGGGTGTATCAGACGCAGGACATCTTGCTCAGGATAGGAAGGTTTTCCGGAGGGTTGTTATGGCAGCGAGGTTCCGCGAGGGACATGCTACTGAATGAATGAATGAGGATATCATACAAGCGATTAACACCCGATGACACAAAGTGCCACCATGTGAATGAGAATTTCTTGGCACATTCAAGCAATCAGTAACCTTTGGTTACTCCACTACTTCTCCAGCCTCACAACAACAGATTGTGACGGCCATGTCTAAAAAAAAAAAAAAGCAACATTGTGTGGATACAGTGGTTCGTAATGTTTGTTTAGCTTTTTCCCGCGGCCTCACAGAGCGGTAACCCAGCTGGCAATAGGGCGCGGCGCAGCGACCTGCTCGGGTTAAACCAAGCACCAGCAACAATCAGCAAAACCCCACAGAGATAGAAGTTAAGAGAGCAGGACCCAGACAGGGACCCAGAACCCCAAGTACCACACCGGACTTAGGAAGACAAAGAACAGGAATATCAGGTGTGACTTCACACCACAAAGAAAAGGACACCAAATAAGATAGCCAATGAACTCCCCTTCATTTAGCAGGCCTTCGGGCGGCTGAAAAAGGATCAGATTTGGAATTTGTGTTTATCAAATTGGAACTGTTGGACCATTCTATTGGCGCTTCGAGATACCAGCTAAATGATTTTGTGTTTTTGTGTGGTATAGTTTTAATTTATGTAATCGCTGATGAAGGCTCCATAGCCGCAACGTTCACATTTTGTTTGTGCTTGTTATATTGCGAAGCTTGCTTGTATACTTTTCGTTCGGTTTTATATCTTTCTTTGATACCATAGAACTGCGGCGTTGCAGGCATTTCTACAAACATGGACTCACCCATACGGGCAGACCAGTCGATTAGGGAACAGGCAGGCATGCGTGGGCACATACATGCACACAGAGTAACAGACAGACAGACAGACAGACAGACAGACAGACAGACAGACAGACAGACAGACAGACAGACAGACAGACTCACATTGAGGTGGAGGCATTCCGGGCTGGTCAAATCCTTTTTGCTGGTGCATGATGGTATCTGGAATGATAACAGGGATGATAATACTGAAGATGATGGTGAAAAAAATGATAATAACAGTAATAACGATGAGAAGAGTGTTGGGCTTGTTTCACTGAATTCGTTTCCTCAAAGATTACAGTGTGTGTGTGTATGTGTGTGTGTGTGCGTGCGTGAGTCTGTCTGTCTGTCTGTCTGTGTTTGTCTGTCTGTCTGTGTGTGTGTGCGTGTGCGTACGTGTGTGTGTGTGTGTGTGTGTCTGTCTGTGCGCGTACGTGCATGCTTGTGTGTGTGTATGTGTGTATGTATGTATGTATGTATGTATGTATGTATGTATGTATATGTGTATGTATTCTTCAGTTAATTCAAGTTAAATCTATACAACATATACAAATGACACATTTTTTATTACATGCAATGAACAAGGTTTGCAGTATTTAGCGGATGCGGTAAGTGTGCTTATTGAAAGTTAGAATTAAACTGCAGGAAAACATTATTTGTGGTAAACTTCACGAAGAAAGAGCTGCCAAAATATAACTTCAAAGTAAATGGAAACATTTTCAAGTAA